GAATGGGGAAAAAACAAGAACCAAGATGCATTATGTAAAGGTACAATTCCCAATGAGAAATGTAATTGTGTTGTGTACCTACAATGTACCAATAAAAGAATTTAATAAAAATAATATTCCATCCCAGTAGTTATTAACAAAAGACCTCTTTTATTAATGTTTCCTTCTGTGCCTTTGTTCTTACCATGTGGTCAGTGGACAGTGACCACTGGTGTAATTTGACAGTTGCAAGAGAATTACTCAGTTTCCAGGGAATTCTGGTAAGATGCAATAGCAGAATGGATGTCTTCACCAAAAGAGAAACACTCAGTAATTTTTTGAAGCCCCAGTTGAAACCATATGGATAAAAACCATTCTGTCAGCCTCTTCAACACTAATGCAAAAATATCCTACTCAATCACAGACCTTACAAATAAAGGGGCCCCCTTCTTGAGAGCTGGCATGAACCACTTGCCTGTAATCTCAGTTTTGTAAAGAAACCTAGAGGGCCATGACCCACGGCAGCTTGTAGGGTCTGTGCAGAACGAGCAATGTGTGAGGACTCTGGGATGTCGGGAAGGGACATTTGATCAGTGGCTTGGCCCAGCCGACTCCACAACCTGTGTTTTATTTTTTTATTTTTTATTTTTTTTTGGTACCGGGGATCGAACTCGGGTCCTTGCGCTTGCAAGGCAGGCGGCGGAACCACTGAGCTAAATCCCCGGCCCCCAACCTGTGTTTTAATCAGACTTCTTCTCTAAAGCAAGACCAGTGGTATTTTTTTTTATTTTTTAATTTTTTTTCTTGCCGGAGATTGAACTTGGGGTCTTGAGCTTGTGAGGCAAGTGAGGGCACCACTAGGCTAAATCCCTGGCCTGACCAGTGGTATTTTACATCTTTGTTGACCTCTTATTGTACTAAGAACATGATTTGCACTGGCTTTTTAAATTCTCACAACGACCCATTTGTAGATGAAAAACCCAGTTTTATAAAGATCCACTTATCCAATGGGAAGATAGAGCTTGGAGCTGGAAGTTGCTGCACCAGCTTTGATTGTGGTTTGGTATATACTTGATTGTTTCATTTAATTCCAAGTTTTCCATCCCCATAGCATTATAGGATGTTATTAATCCATTTGAAGTATATATCAACTGGAGAAATTTTGTGTCTTAGCAACAGTCTTTCCATATTGGAAATTTTGCAAGGGTGTCTGAGGACAGAGCCCCAGAGGAGTGTCAATCTTGAGACCATCCCTGAACTGCCCAGAAGAGCCATGGTGCTGGGAGATGGATGGGTATTTGGCACAAGCTCCACTGGGCTCAGGTACATGGCTTGTCTTCCTGGCAGAAGAACTTGGTGTAGTGACAAATATTTTTTAGTACGACATGCAGGCCTGATAGTGTGATGAGATGCTTTCCAAGTCTGGCTTTTCTGCCCATAGTAACTCTATGGTTATCACCAGTAGGGCCAGAGGAATTCCTAACAAGAAACAAAACAATGAATGAAAAAAGCCTCCATCTGGCCATTAAAGACCAAGATTCAGAAGCCAGCCTGTACTTTATCACCTTAATGGACTTTTTACAAGTGTTCCAGTCTAGGAAAAAGTGCAGGCCTAAATCACTGCTAAAGAGACTTATATAATTTAAAGTGGAAATGGCTGCTGGGGCCTGCTCTTCATGGCAGGTAAACAAAAAGTTAATAACTTCCATTTTATTGGTGTGTGTAATAAGTTACAGTATAGTTCCTCAACTCTAAAAGGCATCATTTAACACTTTTATTAGGACTCCATTTTTCTTTTCTTGAAAACAAAAGTGTACTGAGTACCAGTTGCTCGGGAAGCTGAGCCAAGATGATGACAAATTTAAGGCTGGCCTGGGCAACTTAGCAAGACCCTATTTCAAACTAATTTTTAAAAAGTTCTGGACATGTAGCTCAGTGGTACAGCATTTTCCTAGCATGTGTGAGGCCCTGGGTTCAGTCACCAGTATTGATTTCGAGAGAAACAGGGACAGAGAGAGAGAACAAAAGATGTTATTATTTATAGAACAGCATGTATTTTCATAGCCAGAAATCCAAACAATGTACATTTAAATTCCAATTTTAATATTCTTCGATGAAGCCAGAATCATCTTTGCTTGTTTCAAAAAATGAATTTCCTTGTAGAAGTTCTATGTGACGTTCTTTCTTCCATGTTTCTAAAGTTACCTGTACCCAAAACAAGTTATTGAGCTGCATTAGCTTAGCTCATCTTGAGTACTCAGTGTTGTAAATAATTTTTTAAAACGTGCATTTTGTTCATCGATTGCAGTCTTTCCTATAATAACATGGGCTGTGTGGGAGGCAGTCCTCTGAGGTTGGGTTTTATTGAAAACTCTGCTGTTTGAAGAAGATTACTAGGATGTCTGAATCCTTAATAGAAATGTCAGGCAGCCCAGAGCTGTAAAGAGAAGGGTTCCTAACTGGAGAGGGAATGGCTGCATCACCTGGCAGGGCCCACCTCTAATTCCGGCTGTGTGTAGGAAATGGAATATTGCAACACCCCTGGAATACTCAGTGATGATAATCATTTACCCCAGAAAGGGTAAAATGGGATCTGATTGAATTGATGTTGAAGAGCTCAGGAGACAGCACTTTGGTTGGGCCCGTCACATCTTCAGGGCCATTCTGCACACATCCCAGTCTTTCCAGAATCGAGTAGGCTGAAGTGAGCGGAAGAGGCTGAGACTACAACGGAGCATGCAAACATGGGTGTTTTGGTATGTCTGTGTCCTTCTTACTGTTGTTGAATTGTGGTCTTTTTCTCCAGGAGCATGCTGGATGTTGTGTTTCACATCTCCCAGGAGGGAGGCTCCCTCCTAGTTTATTTCCCTCAACACATTTTAAACTTCCCTTGAAGACAGGGACAGAGTTGCCAGCACACCTGACCCTGTTCACTGTCTGTTTGCCCCCACAGAATCTGTACCAGAATAGGTTTTTAGGCCTGGCTGCCATGGCGTCTCCATCTCGAAACTCCCAGAACCGGCGCCGGTGCAAGGAGCCACTCCGCTACAGCTACAACCCTGACCAGTTCCACAACATGGACATCAGGGGCGGCCCCCACGATGGTGTCACCATACCCCGCTCCACCAGTGACACTGACCTGGTCACCTCGGACAGCCGCTCCACGCTCATGGTCAGCAGTTCCTACTATTCTATAGGGCACTCGCAGGACCTGGTGATCCACTGGGACATCAAGGAGGAGGTGGACGCAGGGGACTGGATTGGCATGTACCTCATAGGTGAGTACTTTGTCCCTTCCAGCCTTGCTCATGGAGCCACTGACTTAACCAGGGCAACTGAGAGCATGCTGCAGAAACAATGGTCTCATGCACAGGTTTGGGCATTCAACAAGTATATTACTCATAATTCATTTCTACATACATTTTAACATATTTCTAAACTCAACTATAATTAAAATGCACAACACACTGAGTTATAACGCTCTGAATACCACCAGTCCTTTGCTTTGTGTTTTTGCAATCCAAACAATCAGGCCTCTTACCATCTCTACTGGATGGAAGATAATCATGAGATAGCAGAATGAGGCATGGTTAAACACAAATGCCATTACATTTGCAACTAAAGAAGCTCTTCTAGGTATGAATAAGAGAATATCAAAAGTCTTTTTCTAAATTCATGTGTTTAAGACCAAAGTAACACTGTATTCCCAACCAGTATGCTGGTAACTTCACTGTTTCCAACATAATAATTTCATCCAGTCCTTCAACATTCTTATTGCTTTGTTTTTAAAAGACATGATGGGTTCATAGAGTCATGGGACTGGAGAAAACTGACTTACTCTACCTGAGATCGAGCTTTATTCAAAATTATGAAAGTTTCCAAATTGAAAGTTCATTAGGAGAGATTCTTCTATGTGAATTTTCTCATCTGTCCAAATAAGTCAAATTATGTAAATAAAGTAGATGCTGAGCCAACTACTTTGTAAAAGTTTCACTGTTCTCACTGATTGGTTTTGAAAATAAATCTTACAAATTTGAAACTATGAAAAATGCATTTCCTCTATTTTATATGGTACAATCAAGTGTAGCAGAAATTAACATGGTATTACACAATCCAAGGTGTTATTTGGAAAGGCCCACAAGAGTCATTAGATCCAACACTAGGTCCAGGAGAGGCCAAGAATTGTGCCTTCAGTCTCATGGCGTACCATGTACACACCACGGCACATAACACCAGAGTTAGCATCTCTGAACATCACAGGAAAGAATTCATTGTGTTGTGGCCTTACAACCTGGGCCACTTTTCTGATAGATTAAAAGGAATCTCATCCAACTGTCAGGAAAACATTTTTGGCTCTCTTGAAATTTCTGCCATTAGCTTGGTTAGTATATTTACAGAACATACACAACTGAAGATGAAGAAGCATAACTTTTGAAATTTTTACACAAATAGTTCTTACTAGATAAATTGGACTTTGAAACAGTGAAATGTCATGTTTTTAAAATTAGCCCTTGAATAAAAGTAAATACTTCAATCTAGGACAAGAGATAAGATAACAGGCTACCAAGCATATTTTGTTCAGTCCAGATGGTTTTAAGTTTAATTATCAACATTTAAAAATGTAGAGACTTCATGTTAAAGTCCATCTTTTTAGTGTCCTCCACAGATGCCCCCAATTTGTCAGAATCAGCCTGAAATACCACAGGGCTGCAATCAGCTGGAGTTAAGGGCTTGTTGCCCCTTTAGCATGGCCTGCAGCCTTCAGTTTTACAACAATCCTCCTCCAACCCACCCTGTCTTTAATCAAGGATATGACTTGTTTAGCACCTGAGGTTTTCGCCTTTACACACAGAGACCTAATTTTGAATCCACTCTTCACAGGGGTAACCTTCTGCAGATGATGAGTGTTGGTGCCACTTTTCTTCAAGTTAGGGACAATGGGAAAGAGCATGTTGGGGGAGAAAGGGATGAATTTAGTGGGCACGTACAGGGTGTGAAGGTCCTGAAGGACTCACAGCTATGGCTGGGTCTGAGCTCAGTCATAGATCCTGGCTGGAGATGTAGATCTGGGGTGACTGGCACTGCAAGGATCAATACAGTTACTTGTGGATTGGGCGTAGAAAGAACACCAGAAGTTTCCCCTCAGAGAAGCAGAGGAGATGCTCAAAAAGAAGATGGAACAGGTGGTGAAGTGGAAGGACATTAGGAGCTCACACCACTGAGAACTAGAGAGGAGGGTGTTGGAAGAAGGGAGGGCCGTCAGCCACATCAACTATCATGAAACTCCTCAAATGACTAAAATCTAGTGTTAACATGATGTTTGGGCTGAGCCAAAAGTAACCACAAGTCATCATCTTGGAGTCTTAGCCTGACAGGTTGTTATTCTCATAGTAGATGCACATATATAACTGTGAAGCTATTTAATGCAAAATGCCAACACTTTCAATCGTGTAATATTTTACAGTTTTCCAATCCAAAATTATCTGAGAATCTTCAAGTTCATAATTTGCAAGTCCTTAGTAACTTCTCTCGAAGATTGGCAGAACCTTGCCAAACCTCAAGCCATAGATCTAGACCTAGACATTCAGAGGTAGTGATTTCATCTAATCTGTCATTTCCAAGTGAGGAGATGCCAATTCAATGGCTCCCACGGCTATTCAGCTGCCACCTTTGGCAGCAGAACCCATGCTCGCCATGGACATGTTGGCACTGTGGTGTGGCCGCAGGTGTAGGTCATTCCACATCAGTGGGCCACAGGAACATCATGCACATGAGAACAAGTATGCGATGCCTTCAGCATCATCTGACCTCTACAGCTCTCCAGGCAAACATGTAAATGTGACTTTCTTTTGCCATAGGTGGGTGAAGATACCTGGACACAGAGGGTGATTGATGTGTGTCTCAGTAGCACCATCCCCAAGTCCCCAGTGGTCCTATTACAGTAGAAACCCAGCAACAGGACAATAACAGTAGCATGAATGTCATTGGTTACCCTCACAGAGTGCCTCAGGATGAGCTAGATGAGAGGAATAAATGATTCTCTCGTGGTGGCACAGAATGGGGAAAATTCTGTGGTTACAGGGACAGGTGGACTCGGTTTAGAGTCATGTTCTGCTTTGGGCCAGGTGTATGATTTCAGCCAGGTGTTGTCTTCTAAGCTTCAGGCTGCTTATCTCCAAATTGAGGGGGACAAACATAATTCGTTTCTCAGGGTCAGTGACAGGAAGTGATGAGATGCTGCACCCTTACTGCCTGGCATTCAATACTGTATGTCACGTTTTGATTTATCTTTTCAAGAAGCTTTATTCCCTGCATGCATGGTGGCAAATTACCCTGATTGCCACACTTCATTCAGCCCAGCCTTGACCCATAGATGAATATTCAATTCTTTTCATTGAGCTTTATAGACAAAGGCTCCTGACCAAACCAATGGGGGCCTGGAGAAAGACTTTTTAAATGTCAGAATGTCAGTAAATGTGCAGAAGCTTATCATGTGGTCAAACACAAGTACATAGAGGCAGATTTCTTAGAAATCAGCACTTCCAGCAAGTAGTTCTACATTTACTCATTCAGTAGTGCCTATTTGACTTTGTCAAATAAAATCTAATTGTTTATCAGTCCTGTAGTATTAGGGTTAATGAAAGACTCAACAATACCCTTGGCTTACACTAATGGAACATTATTGTCTAATTGGGTTAGGATACATAATTTGATGGGTACAATTGAAATCTCTAATCATTAGAATGCTATATTAATGAGAATATATTTACCGTATATAAATATTTTACCTCTTTATTTAACATTTTGATGTTTTTAAAAATCTAATCTCGTAACACTCTTTTGTAGAATTATGAGTTTTTAAAAATAGCCATGCCTTGACTTTTGTGGAAGCAGTCCCTATTAAAACTGCTTAAATATGAACTAAGTGTGCAATTAAAATCACAAGAATACAACTGAATGGGTAAAGTAGGCACAGTACACTCATAATTTGGAAAGATACTTGCCTTATCCAGTTACAGTTTGAATAAATCACATTCATGCCATGTTATCCCAATCCCATGCTAGAATTTGGCCTGTAGCTTGAAACATAATGAAACTAGACTACAGTTATTCATTCAAAGTTCCATATATCAAGAGATGATAACTCAGAGAAAAATTAAAATAAAAAATTACCCTGAAATTACACTGTTGCAGCATACCCATACATTGGTGCCTGGGGATGTATATTCTCTTTCCTACCTTCTGGGTCGCTCCATCCGTGTGATGCTAGCAACTATACGTAGACCATATTAAACTGATTCTTTTGAATTTTTTTTTTAGTTTGTTTCTATTATCTGTGTGCTCACCTATATATGGTATTATGCTAACTAAAACTCATACACACTGAAACTGTCCTTCTTTTTCAAGTTCATGGCAACTGAGGTAGCAGTGATAAGAGTTAACACGGAGCCTGCAGAGACAGGATATGTACAGGTTTCAGTTACCATGGCACTGCACAAAGCAAGGATTGCCCCTCACTCTCTTAATCTCTCAATCTGTCTCTCTTCTCCCTCTTCCTGTCTCCATCTTTCTCCCCTCCTCTCACTCTCATGTATACAGATGATAGATAGATAGATAGATAGATAGATAGATAGATAGATAGATAGAGATAGTTCAATCTTAGTCATTTTATTTGGAACTCGGGACTTCACACTTACTAGGCAAGCATTCTACCTCTAAGCTACACCTCTCCTCCATATATTACTCACATGTTACATATTGTGACACATTTTCATCATTTGTTTTGCATTTTTGAATGGAGTGTATTAAAATTTCTAGCAAAACACTCTTAATTAATCTTTATCTACCGTATTAGTCTATTTTCTGATGCTAATAATGCCATACCAAAGCCTGGGAAAGTTACAAAGAAAAGAGGCCTATGGGCTGGGGATTTAGCTTAGTGGTTCTGCTGCCTGCCTCGCAAGCACAAGGTCCTGAGTTTGATCCCCGGTACCAAAAAAAAGGGCCTATTTCGGCTCATGGTTCTGTCCAAGGTTGAGGAGCCTGGTCTGGTGGAGACCTGAGGTAGCACAGGGGATCACATGGACAGGTACAGGAAGTATACAAGCATGTGCCAGCAAGTGTGTGTCTGTGTGTGTGCATGCGCGCACACATGCATGTGTGGCAGCTTTCCCTTATGGTTAAAAATACCAGAGATAACCAGTTTATAAAGAGAGAAGATTTATTCTGACTCATGGTTTCAGTGGTTTCAGTCCATGGCCCATTAGCCTTGTTCCTT